TTTATTTATTTATTTATTTATTTATTTTTAATTTGACCAGAGAGGGACAGAGTGTGAGAGAGAAAGAGAGAGAAAGTGAGAAAGCAAGTCGCCAGGTCCAGAAGTCGAACCGCTGTCGGCCATGTGGGAGTCCAGTGCCCCTAACCACCACACCACCTGCTGGCCCCTCCAGTCTTAATTTCTAATATGGTTAAATATCAATAGAAATAATGCACATAAACAAAAGCTTTTTGGGACTCCTCAATATTTTTAGTTTTATTCATTTTGTTTATTTTTTTCAGTTTTTGCCAGAGGGCATATGTGTTCACTGGGGAGAGAGAAACTGAGAAGTCACCCTCCAAGGGGATGGCCACGCTACAATCCTTTCTCCTCCATTATTGTCTTGGGATTTTGGGCACACGTGCACATGCACCCTGCATGTTTCTCAAGCTGCCAGGTGCAGAGCTTGAGCTGCCCAGTCTATGGGGGATCCAGCCACCTTAACTACTAAACCACTGACTGACCTCTCTCTCCTCAATAAGTTTCAAGTATAAGTGGTTCTGACAATGAGCAGATTGAGAACTTGTGTTCATAATTATTCTTGCAGAAATATTGATAACTCTCATACTATAAAATGTTTAATTAATTACTCTTAGTTATTTGCTATCAAGATTTCCTCTTTAAATTCCAAGCTCCCTAAAGGAAAAAACCTATGGCTGGAATCCCAGAGTTAACAGAATGTCTAGTATACAGCAGACTCTACTTATCATTGCTATTTGCTCATTCAAATTCATACCTAATGCTTTGGACACACAAAGAAATGTTCATCTTTATTCACTGAGTATTATTTACTTCATTAATAAATTACCTTTTTCGGAATGCTGATGCGCACTCTTCTTTATCTTCTACAAAACTAACTAATTCTGAAGCAACAGGACTATTTTTCTCAGGTGCTATCTCAGTGCCAATATAATTTTTATATTTCTGGGAAGAACCATATGTCAGCTTGCCAGCAGCATGTGATAAGTCATTGTTACCTGTCCCTTCTAAATTATGATCATCTTTTTCATATTTATTATAGGGGAAGGCACACTGGAATTTTTGTATTGGTAAAATATAATTTTCATCTTCATTAGTAATCTTTAAATTTGATGTTAACATTTTAGGCCTCTTTTTCTGATCTATGAGAAAAAAAACAAATTATTACATATATTCTTCATGAAAACAAATTTTCAAAATGATGATGGAAAAATGTAAAAAGAATTTTCAAAAGAGTTTACTTGTCACATATGGAAGCCAACAGAAAAATATTAGTACACTAACAAGATAACATATAATGCCATATATGGTTTCAAAATATAGGTGATTGTTACTAATATGGTGTATCACATTACTAAAGAAAGCTCAATAACTAATTAACTCAAAATTATGGAAATGTAATTTGAAATTTATAGAGAACCTAATTATAAATAGGTTTCATTACTAACAGAAATAACCATAATCATAATAGTTAACCATTTTAGCTACTACAAATGATACACAATTATAAGATTTAAATATTCATATTAATAATTTATACACAGGAATACAATAACCAATCATGTTACTGAATATGACTCAGTATGGAAATATATGCTTTTAATTTTGCAAACTTGTTTCTAAAATGAAGATAAGGGAATATTGTCATCAGTGGGACAAAATTTTAAAGGTTTCTTTATAAGGATCTGTGGGAGGTTTAGGGGAACTTTGGTAGCCTTATTAGGACTTAAATTTACATTACCTTCTATGCATATACATAACTGTATATATACCATATATGGTTTATGTATTATAAAAAGTGTACTATTTGATGGGAACCAGCAGTTAGCTTAATGGCTATGTCACTGGACTCCCACGTAGTCGACCGGACCCAGTGGCTTAAAACTCACGCCGGGCGCGTGTGCGTGCATGCCCAGGATCCCGAGAGGAGAATGGAGGAGAAGGGATTGTGGTGTGACCATCCCCCCTGGGGGATGATTTCTCGCTTTCTGTCTCTACGTCTCTCTCTGTCTGTCTGGCGACCGCACGCACCTTACAACGAAAACCTCTCTCTCAAAAAAAAAAGTGTATTATTTGATACATATAAGAGCACACATATTTTTATTTATGAAACACATATGTAAATTATAAAACTTAAAAATAACATGTATATGCGTGACGCTGCCACCCAATTAAAAAATTAAAATTTTACCAATAATATCACATTAGATCACATATATTGTTTGAGTGTGCTTATTTTCAAGCTTTACAAAAATGGTATCAAACTATATATAATCTTCTGTATCTTATTTTTTCACTCAATGTATTTCAGGGATCGAAGGAGCCCACCTTTAGATAAAGGCAAGGCAAAAACTGAAAAGCAGTGACAAGAGTTAATGGTAAAAGGGGAATAGTCACAGAACAATAGTCAAAATAAATATGTGTGATAGTGTATTGCGTGTGTGTGTGTGTGTGTGTGTGTGTGTGCATGTATATGTATCTATGGAAAAATTTTAGATTTTAAGATTTGATTAGTACTATTTTGAGTATGAGAAATCTATGACTTTCATTTTATCCCATCAAAATAAAGAAATTAATATTTTAATATATTACCAGTTTCTTATATCAACATGAACTACATAGGTAGGGTTTACAAGTATGTGGTAATTTACCTAACAGTTCATGACTTTCTATTTCTTCCTCTAACTGCTGAGTATCTGGAATATCTAAAACCAATGGAGCAGGAGGAAGAAACCAATCCAATGATTCTTCATTATCTGGATAGCTATATAAGATACAAAAATGTAAATACATGTTAATAGAGATATAATATCAGAGGGACCAGCAGATGATCTAATAGTTACATCACTGGACTCCCACGTAGTAGACTCTAGTTCAAGTCCCAGACTCGATGGCTTAAAAGTCACACCAGGTGCATGTGCATGTGTTCCCAAAAGTTTGAGAGGAAAATAAGGGAGGAGGGATTATGGCATGGTTATTCCCCACAGGGGGTGATTTCTGTCTCTGTCTCTCCAGTGAGCACACATACCCTATAGAAAAAATCTCTCTAAATTTTTAAAAGATATTATATCAGAAACTATATGTTTATTAAACAGCAGTCAATTACAGACTCTTAGATAAACATTCTGTAAAGGTTCTGTCACCACTTTGATTTACCCCTTAATATCAGCATTCTCAACCTTTTTCCCTTGTTTATTTTAGGATTAATGATACCACTATGTGAACTATGTTACCTAAATGACAGCTGTAACTCCACCTTGTTTTCCAATTCAAATGCTAGTGACAAGCGCTTTCAAGCTGCTCTGATACATAAAAAAAGGAATAAATCATTCTCAAACTTTAGCATTTTAACTATAAATAACAAATTACTTATGACATACTTGACAACTAATCATGGGTCATCAATGTATGAATGATACTATTACTGGTGTCCATTATTTGTTCATATTACAAATGAGCATCTTAGCCCAAATGTTCTTGGTCCAAAACCATCTACAAACCATAGAAAATCCAAGAAACCAGTTTAAACTGATAATCCTTTTCTAATACAAGCTGATCTTGTCCTTCATTAGGATAAAAATGTGTTAAGTGACAAGAAATAAAGTTGAGAAGAACACCACATATATTGTCAAGATCAAGTGCCAAGGATTTTATGGTTTATTTCTTAGTTTTTCATTAAGTATGTTAAGCTCTCTGAAGTGACTCAGACTTTTACTTTTCTACCTCTCATAGCATCTAGTGCATAATTACTTAGGCGACATATTCCAAACTGAAAATCTACGGTACATTATCTGACAATGTCTGACAGACAATCTGACAACAGGAAAGAGCATTTGAAATTCAGGACTGCAACAGCAGGTCCCTAAGATCATCCCCACTTCAGTGATTCCTTAAGATGATTCACAGGACTCATAGTTTACCCTTGGCTATGGGGCAAAGTCTGGGAGAGACCAGACATAAGCTTCTGAAGGTCCTCTCTGAGTGGAATACCACAAGATGCACTTAATTTCTCTCAATAATGAGTTCTAGCAACTTATATGAAATGTTGCTAATGAGGGGAGCTCATTAGGGACTGAATGTCCAGGGTTTTTATTGGAGGCTTATCAGTTAAGCATCCCCTGCCTGCATGTACCTAAATTCCAGAATCCCAAAAGAAAAATGGATGTTTAGCATAAACCACATTGTTTGTATAAACATTTATGCACAGTGAGCCACTATTACCCGTTACTGGGGGTAACATTCCAGAAATCTAAGTTCTTAGACTACAGCTAAAGACCTGCTTTCCAAGCAGCCCTTTTTAAGAACAGTAGTTCAGGCCTCCTACGTAAACTCTTTTCTGTATAGGAATAGTCCAGAAAATCTCAGAAAGAGGATAACAACATATAAGCACACATCTAGCTCTACTATTCGGCTTTCTCAGAAATACAAATCTTCCTTATGATTTTCCTATTTTTTCTCCAGAGATGTATGCCATCATTCTTCCAGTCAAGCAGAATCCAAACCACAATATAGCCTTTTTTATTCACTATATTCAGACATATGTTAGGCCTTATTGCATCTTCCATAATACTTCTTGAATTCACCATTTTCTTTGGATTTCCATTGTTGCTATAGTAATCAAAGCCCTTATCAACTTACATGTGGCTGAAAACAATAGTGTCTTAAGTGCCCTAACTGCCTCCAGGCTTTTTCTTCCTAATGTATTTTACACATTCCTATCACGTTAATTTGGAATTCTTTACTTTTCTTTCTCTCTTTTTTCTTTCTTTTTTTTTTTTTAGCTATATGGTGTATGTGCTTACCAGAGAGACAGAAAGAGAGAGAGAGAGAGAGACAAAGTGAGAAATCACTCCTCAGATGGGTAGTCACACTGCAATGTCTTTTCCATTCTCAGCTTGGGATTTTGGGCACTCATGCACACATGCTGTTGTGACTTTAAAGCTACTAGACTCAGACCTTCTAGTCAGCCATGTGGGGTCCAACCCCTTAGCTCCCATGTCACCTGCTGCCCAACCACCTTATAGTTTTAACTCTTCTACATTATACCTTATAGTACAGGCCAAATTGAACTACATATTACATACCAAATAAATAATACCATTGTGTTCCTCTTCATCTTTGTTTAAAGATATTTCCTTTAAGGCCATCCCCATAGTGCAGAGGTTAAGGGCAGTACAGAGGAAGCCAGATAGCATGTATCCAACCAAAGTCTGGGACCCAGCTCCAGTAACTTATGTGATGGGCATGCACATCTGTGTGCTTTGGATCCTGGCAGGATGGAGAATTGGCGGAAAAAGGGTTGTAGCATGGCCAACTTTGGGGTACTTTGTCTGTCTTTCTTTCTCTCTCTTAGGTGCACACAGCCCCTCTTGCATAAAAATAAAATCTTTACTAGGCTCGCACCTTTGTACCCTGACCCACCCCATATTCACCTATACAAACTCCGCTATTTTATTCATTAACCAACATTTACTGAGTTCTGTGTGACAGACACCATTCTAGGCAGTGCTTATATTCATTAACAGTCCAGCTCAAATTTTGCCTTTTCCAAGAAAGTTTCATAGATTCCCAAAGATTTTTCTCCCTTCCCTTTTCTTACAGATGAAACCTATATTTATTACAGTCTTCTTTGTATTGTGTGTATGGATAGACAATAGATAGATAGAAACAGGTAAGTAAGTGAGTAGGTTAAAGTAAATAAAGTTGATACTCCCTTTATAGTGCAAATTTATATAAGCAATACTTAGCCCACTGACATATATAAGTTGGCATAGTAATTAACTCTTCTAACTTATCCCACTGTTTCTCCTTATGAATTATCTTTCCAGGAAACTTCTCCATACATTATCCCTTAAAGGTACTTTGAATTGTCTCATCTTCATTCTTTCTCTCTTGCTGTAATTATCTGTCTTCAGTATCTATTTCCTCTCTGTCTATAAGAATTGTTAAATCCTTCAAAGCCTCCTGAATTTTTCCCTATTACCACAGTCTGACTTGACTTATCTGGCCCAAGATGACCTTCCTTGAAAATTTAAAATTTTACTGCTATCATTACTTTGCATAGTTTTTCTTATTTGTATTGTTAGGACAATCATATGTTCCAAAATTTGCCTAGCCTAGAACTAATTAGCACCGGTTGCCCCAGTTAGATATATTTCATTTTCAAAGTGTTTCAATCTGGATGATGAATTACATGGCTATTTCATTTATTAAGATTTTTTTCTGGGACCAGCAGTTGGTGTAATGGCTATGTCGCTGGACTCCCATGTGGTTGACTGTGATTCAAGTCCCAGACCTGATGGCTTAAACTCATGCCAGGCGCATGTGCATGCATGCCTAAGATCCCAAGAGGAGAATAGAGAAGGGATTGTGGCGTGGCCATTCTCCCAGGGGGTGATTTCTCACTTTCTATCTCTCTGTCTTTCTGGTGAGCGCACGTACCCTATAGCAAAAACCTTTCCAAAAAAAAAAGAGAGATTTTTTTTTCTTTATTAGTGATAAAGCATATATTCATGTATGTGAGAAAGAGATATGAACACTCTCCACAGAGGGTGCATATGCTCATCTCAAGAGAGAAAGAGAGAGAGAAAGGGAATGCATCCCCTCCACCCCAGTGGAGCACGGTATTAGTTTAGCAATTAAAAAATAACTGGGGGACCAGCAGGTGGCATGATGGTTATGTTGTCGGACTCCCATATAGTCAACTGAGGTTCAAGTCTTGGACCCGGCAACTTAAAACTCACACCTGGCACATGTGCTTGTGTTGCCAATATCCCAACAGGAGAACAAAGGAGAAGGAACTGTGAAATGGCCATCACCCCGGGGGGTGATTTCTCGCTTTCTGTCTCTCCAGTGAGCAAATACATCCTATAGCAAGAATCTCGCACAAGAAAATTGTTTTAATAATTGAAAGGATAAATAAAACAATAAATACATTTCATCAAATAAGGATAATACAGGCTGGCTCTGTTGTCTGGTGGTTAAAGCAGCCAGAGCCCCCATGGCTGACCACATGGTTCTAGTCCTGAAAGTAGCAGCATGAGAAACTTGTTTGGTGTATGCATGTGTGCCCAAAATCCCAAAAAGAAGGAGAAATGGAAGAGAAGGGATTGCAGCATGAACATTCATCATAGAGGATGCTTTCTCTTCTCCCTCTCTATTTCTGTCTCTGGAGAGTGCATGAATCCTCTGGTAAGAAAAGAAAAAAGGAAAAAAAGAGTAATAGAGGACTAGCCCCATAGCACAGTGGTTGAGCACTGTGTAGACAGAGTCAGATCCCACATCATCGACCATAAATTCCAAGGGCTTAAAAAATATGCCAGGCACATGTGCATGTGTGCCACAAATCCTGACAAGATAGTGAAATGGAAGAGATGAGATCGTGTCCTGACCATGCTCCACTGAAGGGTCTCTCTCTTTCTCTCTCTCTCAGTCTCTTTCTCTTTCTAGTGAGCACCTGTGCCTTCTGGGAACAAACAATAAAACAAAAGAAAGGATAATACAATAGAATACATAGAAAATTTAGAATTGAGAGCAATACACAAGTGAAAACACATCAAAAATAGTTATTTATCAGACTACCTACTCTCTATTATTGTTTTTTGGTTTCACATTTCTATTTCCACCCCAATATCATCCCTTCACTGAATCTGTCTAGCGCTTGGCATTTGGTACACTGACCATTCGGTTTCCAAAAGGCACCATCACTTCTTATCCTGTGTCTCTATTTGACCATTACTTCGAGTCTTCACTTTGGCCAAAAATATATTAATAATCTAGAAATGCAAATGAACGGAAGCCAAATAGGCAAGAAGCTATTCTATTTATGGCACAGTGATCATGTGCTGCTCAAGAAGCCAGATCCCACAGTCACTATGTTTTGAATCCTCAGCTCAGCCAGCCTGAAACATAACAGATCCTGAATGCCTAGGTCCTGACAGGCTAGATAACTGAAGAGGGGGATCATGGCATGGCTAGACTCAATGGAGGGTATTTCACTTTTTCTCTCACATGCACATGCACACACACCAACATGAATAAAGGGAAAAATAGTAAAGTTATATTTTAAAGAAACATAACATCTAAGATGTTAAACTTTAGTTATTTCCTTTTATCAGAATTCCATGTTCACCAAATACATAATTAAAACATAATTTTGTTGCTCTCTCATTTTTAATCTGTATATTTACACTAGAAAGAAAAATTTTAAATCTCTAAAATTAAAATATCCTAAAATAATACACTATCTTATCACTTGTTAAGGCAGGCTTACTTTTCATCTGGCTTTTCAAAAAATGTATTATCCTCAGAAAATAAGCAGTCATTTGATTTCAGCATTGTTGAAAACTGGACTTTGTCACAAATCTACAAAATATAGAAGAGGTAGTTTATATTGTATTTGCATATGTAAAATATATTTTGGAGAACTATAATCATTACTATCCCAGAATGTTCCATAAAACATAATCAGACTCCTCTTCCAGCTTCATCTTCTGCAACTTCCTCCAAAATACCTCAATATTCAAAGATAGTCTGTTCTCTAATCATGCATGCATTTTCATGCTTGTACCCTCTCTTCAACCAGCACCAGTGCTGAGAATAATTTTTGTCCATTCTCCACCTAGCAATTTCCTATCTGTCCTTCATATTGGTCAAATGTCATTTCTTCTTGAAAGGCTTTTCTGAATTTGTCCTATTCCTCAAGGCAGAATTAATTGCTCCTTTGGGGCCCTCAATACTTTGTTCATGCCATTATTTTAGTTAGGTTAGTACATTTTATTGAGAATGTGCACACCTCTAAAAATATACTATGCACATAAGCAAGGATTTACTTCAAAATAAAGATGGAGGAATATTAAATATTAAGGATTACACAATACTAAGGATTACACAAAAATTGCTAAAGCTATGTAATAGGTACATAGGGTTCATCATAATATTGTTCATTTTTTTGCATGTTTGAACATGTCCAAAATAAAAAAATTACAAGCTTAATATATTTATAGTTACATTCATGTTATGTAATATATATATGTATATATATATATATATATATATTTACTTTCCTTTTTAAAAAGATAAGTTGTCTATTCAGAGATGTTATTTAAATGTGAAGGATAAAAGCATTCAGCATTGACCACCTAGAAATATAACAAGAAACTAGAGTTGAACAATGATTTGAATGTGATGAGACATTTCTACAACTGCTCCCTTTACATTGCAGCTTGAACCCTGAACATCAACTCTACATACCATTTTATTTTCTAAATTCTGAAACATGGTAAAACATTCTATATGACAAAATATGAAATCAGAGGCACAAATCATAAAATATAAATCACATTTTTATTTCTTCCGCGATAATACATTGCAAATTTGTCCTCAGGATGTAATTTAAAATCAAAGAAACTAATGAGCGCCATCTCGTGGAGAAACTCTCATTACCAAGTCAGATTATATCTTTCCAATTTCAGGTCTTTCTTGATGTGGAAATGAGATGAGTAGTAATAACTGAAGGAAGAAGGAAATGTGTCCACCTACATCCCTAGACAAAATGCTAAGAGGGCTAAAGCTGAATATACTTTAGGACTATTACTACTGATCCAGAATATTATGGGATTTTTTTGTTTTAGTTATTGGGCTTGTCCTACTTCCATTTGCTCAACTGCCCTCTTCAGTTTTGTCAATTTATTTTTTAAAGAATTATTTTATTTAACCTTATTTATTTATTTTAATTTTACTAGAGAGGGACGGAGTGGGGAAGAGAGAGAGAGAAACTGAGAAAGGAAGCTGCCAGGTCCAGGACTCGAACAGCAGTCAGCCACGTGGGAGTCCAGTGCCCTTAGCCACCTGCCAGCCCCACATTTTTCTCAGTTTATTAATCACTCAGTCACTAACAGAAAGAGATAGTAAAATATGAAACAAGTTAGTGCGGTTCTATGAATGTCTAATACAATTTGACTATGAAAAATAGGGCAGGAGGCAGAAGGGAGTCATTCAGAAATACACTGAGAGTCTTCAATATTTTTATTTAAATAATTTCAGAAATTGCAACAATTATCTGAAAATGTATAAATGAAAATGTTAATGTTTTTATAATGTCTAAGAAACAAATAAAGTGTTCCCTTTCTAGTTTTAGGTGAAAAAAACCCATATAGTTTTAATCACCACTTTATATAATTTTCTCCTAAAAATTGTGTGTCTGTCTGTGTGTGCATATACACATAACACTATAAACACATGTTACATATATATTGCCAGAGAGACAAAAGAAGGGAGGAGAAAGCACCCCTCCCAGTAGGGCATAGCCACACCATGATCCCTTCTCCTCCATTTCTCTATCCTGCCAGTATTTGGGGTACACATACACATGCATCTATTGTGTTTTAAGGAACTGGGGCCAGGATTTGAACTGCACAGTCATGTGGGATCTGGTTCACTTAAGTCCCAAGCAGTGGGGCTGGCCCAAGAAGAAAATATTTTTAAAGAACAAGCCAACTTTTTCTAAATTAGAATTCACCAGACTGGGCCAGCTAGTGGCATGGTGTGCTTGTGTGAAAAACATGACAGGCGTGTGTGCTTATGTGCCCAAAATCCTGAGAGGAGAAATGGAGAAGGAACTGCAGTATGATCATCTCCCCCTAGAAAGTGCTTTCTCACTTTCCCTCCCTCTCCCCTTCTCTTTCTGTTTCTCTCTGGTATGTGCATGTACCCCGTAGCAAATTTTTCAAAAATAGAAAAATAAACAATAAAATTCATCACCACTTTTAAATGGCCTTGCCATTTTATTTTCTCTGAATTTAAGTAAAAAAGCTTTAGACTAACATTAAATTTTTCTAAGATAAACTGCAAATAAGACAATAAACTACAAATTAAAAATGTTTCCTCCCAAAAGTTGGATAAGCTATATGAAAAACCACCTATATAAACAGCAAATATTTCAAAAGAACCTTTGTTAAATGTCTTGTTTTAGAATAAGAGAATGTAACTAGACTAGTAGGTGGTATGGAGGTTAAAGTGCTGCATACCAACTGCACAGTTCAAGTCCCAGATCCAGTAGATGGAAAATCACAATGGGCACATGTGTGGGCATGCCCAAGATGCTGGGAAGAGAACGAAGAAGGGATTGCAGTGTGGCCATTGCCTCTGGGGGGCTATTTCTCACTAGTCCCTGTCTCTGGCAAGGACAGGTACCTTACAGCAAACAAACAAACAAAAACACACACACAAAACCCCTAAAACAACAAAAATATATGTATGTAACTTGTTTTAGTTCAGAATAAAAAGTGTCCATATTTTAGCTCTGATGCATAGGAGGAAATCAAACACCTCCTCTCTAAAATTCTCCATTCCTTTATCTTGCATTTTTTCCCTTCATAGCACTAATTGAAAACTTACATTATCCTATATACTTATGAATTTATTATCTTTCTCCCTTTAGAGTAAACAGGTTTTTGTTTTTTGTTTTTTGTTTTTTGTTTTTTTTTTCCCACCAATGTGTTCCAACCAAGAACAATGCCCGGCACATAGTAGATGTTCCATAAAAACTCCTGCAAAATAAATGCATTAGTAATGATCCTTTTATAATAATAATTTTAAAGCCCAGCTGCAGTAGCAAATGCTACTAAGACTATATGCTTCACAAGTCAGGACCACACCAGAGGCCTGGGTTCAATTACCCATCCAACTTAAAGGCAGAATGCTGGCAGTACCTATAGTCCCAGAGAGTTGGGAAGGCTCGGACATAAAGATTACCAATTCAGGATTGGCTTGGGCAACAATAACTAGAACTTGACTGAAAGAGCCAGAGTGGTGGCAAAAACCTGTAGTCCCATCTGAGAGGCTGAGGCAGGAAGACCCTGTCTAAAACAATAATTATAACTAAACAAAAATAATTTTTTATTAATTTCAAAACTTAAGTTTTTATCTATCAAAAATTTGATGTTCAGTTTTAAAATGTTAATTTTTTTCTAGTTCCAGATTTATGTAATCATGTCTCTAAAAAATGGTGAATCCGGTTTTTTTTTTGAGAGATTTTTGCTACCGGTCATGTTTCCTCACTAGAGACAGAGAAAGAACGTCAGAAATCACGTCCCCACACCCTCAGGTATGGCAAGGCAGCAGTACTTTCTCCATTCTCCTCTGGATTTTGGGCAAGCACACACGTGGGCGTGAGTCTCACGGCCACGGGACTCCAAGGAATGGACCATGTGTGGGTCTAGCCCTAAGCCACTACGCCACCTGCTGGCCCCACTGGCGCTTTCATTATACGGACAAGTCATTTTTATAAAAACAAGAGCCCTAAGAGGGAACTTGCAATATTTCGGTGTGAGTTTGTGATATAAGCAGATGCCAAATTTTGAATTAAAGTTCTAAGGTTTTATTACAATCTCCTAAATTTTCTCATCACAAAAGTTTTAGTTTCATCATGTGGTACAAAATTATCATATATTGCAGAACAAAATAAGTCATCCCAAGTATTTTACTTTATTTTTCAAGTACCTGCTCTAACTAATCACTTAAAATATTTACACCATTTTTGTGACTACATAATTTGTGTCCTAAGGAGATAACCTGCACCTTCTGTAGGTTACATTAACAATAATTTGGCATTTTTTAACGTCTATAATCTTAATGTATGAAATCCGTCGATTGCTTATTCCTTACCATTTTCACTCTTAGAAAACTACCCCCTTATTTCAAAGGTGTCAAATCTCAATGGAAGTCTTGTTTTGCTAGAAACCATGTGAAGAGGCTGACACCAACATTCACCGTAATAACGACCGTCACGAATAGCTGCAGGGAGTTTGCGGAGTGGGGGGATAAACGGAAATGCACTACCCCGAGCCTCGGGTCTGGAACAGGAAAGGGGTTCACAGAGGGAGCCCCAGGCTCCAGTCCCACTCCCAACCCCGGAAAACTCCGGCGGGGATCCCAACCGGGTGGTAAATGTCCCTGTGGATTTCCTAGGGAAGACCCTAACTGCAAACAGGCACACCCGCCCTGACCGCCGAGGCAGAGCCGCGGGGCGCCGAGGGCGGCCCCAGCCGGAAGTGCCCAGGCTGCCGCGCCACCCCGGGGTCTCGGTCCCCAGCTGTCACACCAGGCGGTCAGAACAGACGCCAGTCCGCCAGCTCTCGCCCAGGGGGCGACACACACCCCAACACAAACACAGAAGCCCGGGAGCCACTGCAACGAAACTCCGCGCGGTCGGCCCTGAGAACAGGCCCGGCCGCCCCGCGTCGGGCGCGCCTCAGGCCTCGCCGCCTTCTGACTGGAAACGCGGCTGCGGGGACGAGCGCGGGCCGGGCCGGCTCCACTCCGGCCAGCGCGCCCGCGGGGCTTCCAGCT